AGCAGGGCTGGCTCCTCCCAGAGCAGCTCGTGGTGTCTGGGATACCAAATGTGAGCTGCAGGGTGAGATGCAGTGGGAGATAAAACAATATTATTATTATTGGTGTTGTTAATGAGCTGCCTGGTGGTGTCTGATGGTAAATATGATTAGGAAACCACAACATAAGAGTGGCTGTGGCCTGTTCCCTGTTGTTGTGGGTTTCAAAACACTTGTTTTGTGTCTTTGGCAAAAAAAATGGGGGAGTGGTTGTGGCATTGAATGAGAGGGCAAACTTAGGCTGAAGTATAGTTTCCTTTTGCCAAGAGAAAAGAAATTATAAAAACAAATTCTTGGCTGAAAACTTAAAAGGATAGGTTTGGAATGTTATCTTAAAGGATGTTACAGTCCTGGAGCTTCCAGTCATACCCCAGATAAAGCACTTTGTTTATACACTACCCCATTTCACATATAATGCTTCTATGGGAGATGGGCTATAGGTGTTCATCCTGGCTTTGGAGGACAAAGAGTTTAATTAGAGGGTTTTTCCTTTCTGTAATCTGCTGGTTTTATACATCACACATAAAATCTGCATTTTTGCAGCAAGTACTGGTTAAACTGTTCAAACAGATTTCATACGGTTGTTCTGGGATTTACTCCCTTTCAGGAAGCCAAGAGAAACTTTAGAAATACACAGAATTTACATCAGTGTGACCTGGAAAAGAATCCAGGGCAGAGTTTTTAATAACACCTTTACCATCCACTTTAGACTTTAATTTGAGCTTTTATCTTTGTGTTTTGTTTTAAAGCAAATTAGACTTTTGGAGTTGTGAGAATTAAACGGGTGTTGCCATTTCTATACTGATAAATTACCTGAAGCTGGACATTTCCAACAGTATGGGTACCTTCATGACTGAGAGAGAGATCACAGTTTGAATAATGTTTAGCATAACCAGAAAACCTCACTGCCTCACCCCTCTTTGTTGTAGAAAACAAACCACAAAGGGCTGAGTTTTGGGTTTGTGGGCTTTGGTAACAAAAGAGGGCACAGCTCTGGCTTCCCCTGAAGCTGACAGCAGCACTGCTGTCCACAGCAGCAGCAGGAGTTCTCTGTACAGCAAAGCATGGGAGAGCTGCAGAAGATCTGTAAACGTTTTTGAAATTCAGCACTAACTTTGGTTCTCCTAAGCGCTCAGGAAAAATTTGCTTTTTGCCTTGAATGCTTGGCATTTTCACCTCTTTTAATTCTGCCTGGTAATTTGCTCCTGCTTGTGGCTGACTTAAGGGCCTGCAGAAGAGAAGGTGTGGTCTTCTAAAGTAAACTTGTGTTGTTTTTGTAGGATCCACTTGATGCTTTGCACTTCTGCTTTAGCAGTAAAAGTGACTTCTGCTGACAGCTGGAGTAATTGCTGTGCATGGAATAAAACTGCCTTGGTTTTCTTACCCTACTTCTAAAATTTAAGTGTATTCTTGCAGATCTAAGCTGAAATACAGAGATAAATTTTTGCTCTATGCCATAAAAATGGTTTATATGTTTTTCTGTTGCTTGAATGTGCAAAAGACACATGTAATCATTATTGAAAGGTAAAAAAGAGAATGGAGCAGATTTGGAGGCAATGAATTTTATTTATATATCCCATTCTTTATCATTGTTCATTATTTATATAAGCTGTTCTAGTCCTTTTTCCAACTCCCCTTAGAATTAATGAGAGCCAGAACAAGTATAAAGAGACTTTTGTAGATGTTTAAAAGGTGAAACACTCTTTTCAGAGGTGGCAAAGCTTTAACTTTGAAACGAGTCCTGCTAAGGGGCCATCTACTGGTGCAGCAGGTAGGCACTTTCTCTGAGGGGAGGTAGAGCTTTAAGCAAATATCAATAGGTAGGTCGTGGTATTCATTACAATTGTTGCCCGTTTTCACGTTAGAACATTGTTAGAAAATATGGAGAATTAAATCAAATGCCATTGAAGATTGGGTGTTTTCACAGTGATGAGCTCACTTTTGAATTTGACAAACCAAACAGTTTGAAGATCTCATTGTCCTGTGACTCTTCACCCCTCACTGGTCATTTTTGCCACGTCATTACAAGCTGGCTACTCCAAAAGTTCTATTTTTGGTTTTTGGCTTCTTTTTCTACACTGCTGTGTCAGAAGGTGAGGGGAGGATGTGTTTTGAATGCACTTGAGGCAGATAGTGATGCTCTTTAAGCTTTGTGCTGTTTGGCAGAAGGAAAGAGTTCCAAAGACCTTTTGCAGTGGGTGAGGCATTAGCTGTAGGATTGGTGGTGTCTCTAACAAGCACCACTGGTAGCAGCTCAGGGGGAGTCTTCCTCAGAAGTTCCTTTGTTGTTGACATCCCTTTGTTCACAACACAGGAAGGTTTCAGCCAAAATTGGGGGGCACAAGAAAAGTCAATGCTTTGTGTCTCTTTGGAGAGACAGAAAAATACACAGCAACACAGGAACCTGAGGAGTTTTGGCTGATCATTACTGATCATAGTAAATTGGTATAAAGAACGACATGTAATAAATTTGGCAAAACTTCTGGATTCTGTATCACTTGGCTGTGGGAGTAGAAAGCCTGAGACAACATCAAGCTACATGTCAGATATGCCCAGAATATTCAGGCTTGCACAGCCAGAAAAAGAAATGTGTGCCCTTAACAGTGACTTAATTTTTCTGCCCTATGATGCTGGCTGACTTTAGAAGCCTTTCAAAGAATCTTTGTTTAATTTCCATTCTTTCATGTAGAGCAGTGTTATTCTGTGAAGCTATCTAGCTGAACCACATACATGGGGGATGAATTCTTTTTTCCTAGAATGTAGCAAAGCTTGTGATCAGCAGAAGTGGAAAAACCCACATTCTTGCTGCCTGCTGGAATGCACAGCTGCATTCCCGGAAGAACCAGCCAGCCCAAAAACCTTCTCCTGTCTTTTCTTCTTTTCTTTGGCCTTGAGTTGGGTGACTGCTTTTTGTTTGTGGATTTCATTTTCATTTCAGTGGCATCTCTGTTGTCACACATGTAGGTGCTGGGGTTTGGTTCCTTGCTGGCACTCACTGAGGAACAAGAGAACAGCATTTCCCCTGCGTGTCAGATCCCTGACAGGAACAGGTAAAAGCAGCACATGTTCAGTGTCCCCCCTCTGCACAGGACATGCAAGTTGTGTTCTGCAGTCCGAGATAAACATCTTTTCCCTGGATCAACCCAACAGCTTGGTCTGGAGATAAAATCCTGGGGCTGTTTTGTCAAGTTCACAGCTACCAGCAGGATCTGGCTCTGGAAGGAGCGAGGAGCTGCTGGGAGCAGCTGCTGCTCCCTGTGGATTTTAGTGTGGAGGCTTGCCTGCAGCAGGGGCAGGGGGACAGCAGCACAGAGGAGACAAAAAGGACAAAGAAAATATTTGTAAAAGAGGATTTAGAGCACCTGGGCAGTTGCTGCTGTTTGCACAAGTCAGTGCTGTCAGTGGAGCTGTAGAATTTTGCTCTGTATCCCCTATTAGTAATTTTTTTCCAAAATTATTCACAAAACTTGACTTAGGGTACATGAAAAGTAATTCACTGTACAGTCATATTTTCCCCTTTAAGCAGATAAAGTTGTCATTCTTTTCAAATTAAAAGAAGAACTGCAAAAATAAAAAAGGAATCTCTTTCCTAGTGCACTGTGCTGTCACCCACAGAGCTGTAGTTTTCAGTTCCATTGTTTGAATTGCAGAGAAACACTTATTTGTCTAAACTGAGGTAATTTTATAGATCTCTAAAATCTGCATTTTCTCTCAGGTCCCTCTCCCCCCAATTTCAGGCATCCAGAGAAAACCTAAAACTATAAAATAAATCTTCGAATGCTGCAGAAAGCTGAGCATAGCTTTTACTACATACCTCTGCAATTAGAACTAATTTACTGCCCTGTGAGACAGGGGAAATGTGCAAGGTACTCCTTGGGTAAGCAGGCCACAGTAAGAGAAGCAGAGCTGCTTTGTAAAAGTTATCTGCTCTTATTCAACCATTATCAGGGTCATTCTTACAGCTACATACCGCAGAGCATTAATTAATGGGGCTGCAGCTGGTGGTACCACTTTGGCTGCTTCAGCCCAGCTCTTATTCCATATTTCTCAGGTTTGTATGACCAGTCTTGGACCACATCCCATCACCTTCCCCCCACCCCCCAAAGTACAAAAAGTACTTAAGTCTCCACTGGAAAACTGCCAGGCTTTCATAAAAAGAACAGAGCTGTCGTTTCTTTGCTATTTTTATCTCCTCTGCCAAAAAAGACACCATGTTGCATTGGCAGTTGTGTGTTTTAAATTGCTTTCTGTGTTGAGCAGGTCAGAGCCCAGGTTTTCTGCAGCCACTGGAGATCCAGCATCTTGCTGAGTGCAAGCTCCACTGTGCAGCTTGGGGCACTGGATTTCAGGCAATGATTCCCACACACAGCAGGACTGCACTTCTCGATTTCCTAAATGTCAGGAGGCACACAAGTTTGAAAAAGAGCTGGTGGGGCAGGTGTTTGGAGAAAAGCCTGTGAAAAAAAGCTGTTTCCAGTCGCAGTGCCTTTTGCAACAGGAGGGCGCAGTTGTGACTAGGCTTGGCAGAGTGGCAAGGTTCCCCTGGAATTCCCTTTCCTGGAGCTAGGATCTCGTGGTCTGAAGGACTAGAGTGGCTCTGTCCTCCTGTAGTTTGTGTAATCCTGCCGTGAAAACCAAATCACTTCATCCCCTCTGTGCCAGGTTTTATTCCTCTGGAGTCCTTGAAATGGAAACTGTGGGCACTCGCTCGGTTGGTGGTGACTGGGGCTGATCCCTAATTGATCCCTAATTGATCCCTAATTGGTCCCTAATTGGTCCCTAACGGGCTGCAGCTGTGCAGCACAGGTGAATGCTATTGAAGGTGAGGAGCCATGGAGTGCCCAGGGGTGCTGCCCAACCCCGCAGGGAGCAGAGGGCACACAGGGGCACTGCACCAACAGCAGGGCATAAAGGGGGCTGAAGGACAAGAAGGGCACAGCTTGCAGCCTCCTGAAGGGCCTTGGTGTTATTCTGCATGGGCTGAAGCCTTCTGGAATTGTGTGGGGGCACTCTGGGGATTGTGGCTGGCTCAACTGCAACAGGAGGCAGCAAGAAGGTAAATCCATTCTCATTGCTTTATGTCCTTTCAGCATAGAAGGTAATTCCACAGAATTTTAATGGAATTTGAAAGTTGGAGTTAGCTGCCAAAAACACTTAAAAATAAAAGTGTATGCAAGCCCAAAAAATTCCCTTGTCAATGCTTTTAATTCTGATGAATTGTCATTTAAGGTTCTGCTTTGGACTGTGAGAGGTAAGATTTTGTTGCCAAAATACAATCTGGTCCTGCAAAGACTGACTCTTATGTTTAAATTTGAATGAATAATATGAGTGGACTTTGCTGTAATTGCCACAGCCTAATTTGGGATGTGTAGAAAGTTTGTGAGATTAAAAGATTTTGGAGGGTATTATTAATGCAGACACAGTCTTCAGCTCCAAACTGCCTTGGAAATATTTACATTTAGTGGTACGACACTTCAATGTGTATTTTTATTGTAACATATGTTGCTTATTGTCTCTTAAATAAATATATATGTCATAGATATAGGTATGGAAACACAAACAGATAAATATATAAAAAAAGACTGAAAATCACTGGAATAGAGAGAGATGGGGAAAGGCTTCATGAAAGCTGTCCTACCACAGGAAACACAGTTTGCCATGAAGTGCTCAGTGGGGAAAAATATAACTACACTTATTCTCTACTGTTTGAAATATTCCTTTCTGCCTACATTCTCTTGGATCCTCAAAATCCTTGTAACAACAGGTTTTGTTAAGGTCACTTTGATCATACACTTCCTACTGTGGAAAGGTGTAATTGAGTATCTGCTTTATATAGGTAAAGATGAACTAACTTTCACACTTAAAAAAAGGCTTCATCATCTGTGGTGTTGATGCCAAACAGAGCACAGCTAGAGATTCCTCTTCTTTAGAATGGAGTGAACTTCCTGAGAATTTAAATTTGTATTGGTGAACGTCACATCTTTGGCACTCTTTGCAAAGTGTAGTAACTGCAGGGTAGCTGGTGATGCCCTGAAGAGGATTAACAATTAGAAAATTAGAGGGACAGGAGATAGAAAATCCGATACAACTTCTTACATGTCCTTTAAGTCTTTTACTGGGATCACGCTGTGAGGAAGCAGAACTTTCAACTCTTAACCCACCTGCAAAGCAAACACTCTGGTTTTTATTGCCTTTTTTTTATTCAATCTGCTCCATGCTAGCTTCTGTAAATGCAGAATTTGGTACTTGGAGTTGAGAGCTCTTTAGTCTTCCTGCCTGTAAATCAGCTAATCCCAAGCCCTGGGCAGCCTGCCTGCCCCAGGCACAAGTGCAGAGAGGAGTGACACTGGAGGGAGCTTGCAGGTTTGGTTCTTGAACTGAGCAGTGATTTATGGCTTCTGACTGAGGTCATTGCTTGGCACATAGTGATGGCCAATTTGATGGATTAGGAACTTGAGCAGCTCAAGGGCTCTTAACATTTGTAACCAATCATAATCTGGCTGGCAGTGACCACAACAAAAAAAACCACATATTCTTCTTTGGATCTATTTTAAACTAGTTTAGCTTTGTTTTCTTCTTGGAGACCTAGTGCTGCCATTAGATACTCTTTGATTTGGTTCCAAGGATGGGTCAGAGTCACATTTTTCTTTGATAAACCTATTTTGGTCCCCTCATTGGTGTATGCTGCTGAGAGCTGCACGTTTCCTTTTGGTCTGCTGTTGCATTACCACATCAAGGAGAGCTGCAGAAGTGGCAGGAGGGTTTTGCACAGCATCAGAGGGTGTACTTGTGCTACTTTTGTGTCATCTGAAGAAGCAGGTCGTGATTTACAGCACCTCAGGTATGACCAGTTCATCAGGGTCTGTGAGGTGTGTAAGGCAGAGTGCTTCTGAAGCAGCGTTAGAAAGGCTTTACTGCACCAAAGGGATGGGGAAGCAGCTCTGAATGAGGCAAAATCTGTGAATATTCATTGTTCACATGTTTAAAATTAAGCCTAGTTCAGGGATAAAATTCTGAGATCAACTGCAATTCTCAGCCAGGCTGATACTAATGTCAGTGAAGGTGTAATACCCTGTGACTTTGGTATTGAATCCCTTTAAAGTTAGGCTTTGAAAGCTGTCTTTGCTGTGTTAAAATGTTTTGCTGTACTGCATAGCTGGTAAGGAGATATTTCTGCCATATTTACTGTAGGCACTCAAACAACAGCAGTAGAATCAATATTAATCAATATTTATATAGCACTTTTTACCCACTGAAATAGCATCTCTTGCATGGGAAAGTCCTGTTTTATTCAGGCAGACTTGTTCTGAAGGTGATGATTTATTTTTCCTCTATGGTATTTCACAATCCTAAGAGTTTATTAGAATCTTCGGGGTTTCGCTCTTCTCTGTTACATTCTGAGTTACTGAAATATAGGTTGAAAATAAGTTGTCTAAATTATTGTTATTCCTGTTAATTCCATGCCAATGCCTTGGAGCTGTGCTGCTGGCTCCCTCTCCATTGGTGAGGGCTGTATAAATGTAGGAGAAGGTGCTTCAGACAGAGTGAAAATACATTTCTGTGTCTCAGAGAAGGAAGGAATATAAATATCAGGAATATAAATACCAGGAAGGCTGTTCTTTTGCTCAGTGCAGCTCTTTCACAGTGACTTGCATGTCTGGACATTTTTGCTGAGAAGATCCTCTAGCTCAGAATTGTGTGAGCAATGCTCCTAAACCAAAATCCATGCTGGAAACATCAACATGGGCATGCAATGCTCCTGGGCTAAAAAATCCATGCTGGGAATATCAGCATGGGCATGCAATGCTCCTGGGCTAAAAAATCCATGCTGGGAATATCAGCATGGGCACGCAATGCTCCTGAGCTAAAAATCCATGCTGGTAACACCATCCTGTACCTTAAGCACTTTTCGGCTCCAACTCATCTGTTTCTTAGAGCTAAGAATCCTCTTCCCAGAGCGCCTCAGATGTGGATGTTCATGTTGGAAAGTGCACATCCTCCTTCCTGCAGATGAAGGAGGGAAGCAAGCACACTTTGCCTGTGGCCATACGAGCTGCTGCAGCAAGAGCTGGGACCAAGACCTGCTGCCTGGTAACCTACTCACCTCTGCCTTATTCACAGAAGGGTGGGGATGAAATGAGTTTTCTTCAGATCGCCAAAAATGTCATCAGACTCCAGAGATCTCCAAGCCTAAACTGTCTCCAACGCCTTCTCATGAGTCCAGGGCCTCACCTCTTCCCCTCTGTGCAGCTGCCAAAACCTCTTGCTTCCTTTCACTGACAGCTTCACCAGTGCAGCTGTGTATTTTCAATGAGTAGCACGAGGAAAATTTGGGGATGGAATATAATTAAATTTTTAAAGCCCACAGGAAAATTTCTGGTTTGAACATATTAGTCACTCAAGTTCAATTAAAGCTTTGTTTCTAAGGATGTTACCTGGTGCTGCCACAGAAGATCCAGAGAGCTGCAGGATGATCTCTGCTTTGCTGAGATCACTGTCATTCACATCCTGATTTGAATCCATAGAAGAGCCATGGTGCTGAAGGCCAGTGACAGATTCATGGAAGGATTTGTGTCAGAACAAACTTGGATCTTGGGAACTTTTGGTTACAGCTGCTGTGCAGAGAGCCATGGCTGCATTCCCTTCCTGAAGCACAGCAAAATTTCACCTTTCCTTATCATCTGATGAAGAGAAGTTAATTATTAAATGCATTTCAGTTGTGAGCTCTTCTGAGGTAGGATTAATGCAAGTCCTGTTCAGCAGAAAAAAAAGTAATGTTTCAAATGCCCTGTAATCCTCTTTTTTCTTTCAGGCAACCCTAGGTGCTGCTGCATAGAGGTAAGTCTGCTGCTGAAGCACATCCCTGGAGTGGAGTCCTGCTTGCTTCCTAAACGAGGGATTTTTTAGCTCACATGGGGCATTTCATAGCTGGTGTCTCCTACTGTATCTGTTTTCAACAGATGGGGGGTCAGTGCTGCATTATATGGGACACTGATATACTCTGAATTTATTTGCTGGCTGTGGAGTTGTTCAGCCCTTCAGAGTCCTTGTCTGGACTAAAGGAAATCTAAGAACACAAGTGCCAGTTGAATGGAGAATGAGAGAATGATCTGGGCCTTCTTGGGCCTGCAGCTCTCACATGTTCATTGTAGCACTGTGAAAGTGTCAGTTCAGCTGGAAGGCCAGCAGTGGGGAAGAATTGCATCCAGCTTTGGCCACCAGCAAAGCAGCTGTGCATTCTCTGGTGTGCAACATCATTCCTCCCCACCATGACCACCTTATGGTTTTATCTTTTTTTCCTTCCACCACTCATTAGGTGGCACCTAGAGAATAGAGAAAAGGCTGGCACACTCTGGGCAGGAGAGTGAGTACAGCCATCTCCCACAGCTGTCTTTAACTTTGCTCCAGAGCTCTTTGCACCCCTCCACACTCCTGGAACAATTCTGCTTCTCTTCAGCAAAGACTTTTGGCTTCACTGTTAGAGGTCCAGGCCAGCTCCATGAGAGTTTGCTTGGTCCTTTCTGGCTCCTGCCCCTTAACTTTCCCTTAGCTCTGCAGAACACAGAGCCCAAGTGATAACACTGTTCATGGGCAAATTCTGCTGCTTTTTCTCTCTAGGAAGGTGCTGCATGTTACATCTGAACTCAATGATCAAGACTCTTTTTCTCTGCAATGCAATGTGCTTTGGCCACTTGTTCTGAGAATAAGTGGGAGAGAACTGGGCACATAGCAGTATTTTTCATTCTCTGCTATTCCCACATCTCAGTTGCAGTTCAGAAGGAGCCCCCAGAGGTCCTCTGGAAGTCACATGGTAACTCAGGGCCAGGTTTTCAGGACAAGCTGTAGGAGATACCTTCAGATGGTTTAGGCAGACACAGCACAGGGATGGGACAATTTATCAGGAAGATTGAGGCCCAGGTGTTTCTAGGACCACCCTGTAGCTGGCAAGGCATTGAAGAATAGTCCAAACTTCTCCCTCCCATGGGTATTGAACCTGTTCTTTGGGAACCTCAGCCACTGCTAGTATTGGGAGCAAACCATGGGAAAGTTAAATTTCTGCACTTAAAAAAAAATAAATTGTCTGCAGAAAAGGCTTTCCATGAGTTTGTACTACTCCTTCAGGGATTCTTTGTCTAAAAGAAATAACAGCTGGACTTTTAAGTACCAGCTACTGATCTGATAGACACTAGAACTCATAATTTTGATAATTCTGTTTCTGTCCTTGTCAAGCACCCTGTTAATGGCTGGGTCTCTACCCTACCTGGAGCAGAACTGAAGCTGATTTTGGATATCACTCATGCTTAATGACATTCGGCAATGAAGGGTACCATAATAATGGAGCTGATGTCACAGGTCTTGTTACATGGGAAAAAATGGGAGATTATCCTTGTAAGACTTTGTATTCTAGACTGACCTGGCTACTTTTATGTTATCTAGTCACTTTTTGACAGAGCAGGGATTGATGTATAGCTCACAAATACCTCTGTCTGGGGTGCTTTCTGTCAACTGGGCTATTTCTTTTGTGGTGTCCTTTTGTGTATGTCACAGGACAATTTTTATGGGGTCCTTTATAGAAAAAGGAGGAGAATCGGTTTACATCCCCCTCAGAAAAAATGGCATCAAACAACTTCTTCAAAGTCCAGCACCTTTCTCTAAGCACAAGTAAAAGCCTAAACGATTAAATCAATCCCAACTAATTCAGCATTTAGTAAACTCTGTCCTTACTCACACATTCTACTATTCCCAAGCAGAGTAAAATGTAGGGTACAATGCTGCAGATGAAAAGAAACAGAAAATATCCCCCTTTGGAAGGAAACAAGTTCTCCTCTGGCATATTTAAGGCAACCTGATGTTTGCACCTCTAGATTGATGTTATACATCTTTTCCTTCCCTCATCCATGCAAATGTTTGGTTCAGCTTGCTGAGGATTGATCAAATCTTCTCCCTGGAGAAGGAGACCGGATCCTGGAGACAGGATCCAAAATGCCATCAAATAAAGATTTAGAAAATGCAGTATCAACAGAGCTGTGCGAATAACTCCTTTTAGTGGTTTCTTGGCTGAGCTGTAATGCTGAGAAGCAAGTTGTTCTGTGGCAGTGGGACTAATGAATCCTGGCTGCCTGGATTGGAATCCTTGCCTCCCATCTCTTTGCCCACCCCTCAACCCCTGCTCCCTCTGTGTCCCCTGTGGTTCCCTCCCCTCCAGCCACCTTTGCTTCCCTTCCTTCTCCCCAGCTGCCAGCTGGGCAATGGCAGCAGGGACTGCAGTTGGCTCGGATGAGGAGCTGGCCAGGGGGAGCGAGGAACTGCTGAGCTCACTGGGCAGAGCTGCTTTCGTGGGGGCACTGGTGGAGCTCCCTCTCTTTCTATTGAGCTGCCAGCTCCTTGAACTTTGTGCTCACTCAGCTTTGCTGGGAGTGTCATGTCTGTGCAGAATTTGGCTGAAACAGGCCCGAGGTTGAGAAGTTATTGGAGAGACAGATGGACTGGCAGTGCAATCACACAAACCTCATTTCCTAGGGGAACCTGCCTTCAAGTGCTTTGCTTGAACCAAGATAAAGTGGTTTTGCTTTGTTTTCCAAGACTTGTTAACCGCTTGGATTAAGCTAAATATATGTATTAAATGATACTATAAGCACGTGAGTGCTCTTCTGCTGGTTTATGCCTTTTTTAAATAGCAGTGGATTTATTTCCTTACCTATTTTACAAGCAAAGCATGGCACAGCTAGCCCTGCCTAGTTTATGTTGGCTTCACATAACTTTTGGAGTCATTATGCTATTTATTTTATATATTCTATATAAAATAAATAGCATGTTCTATATATTCTATAACATATATTTTATATATATTATATATCATATATATTTTCTATATATGATGCTATGTATTTTATATATAGAATATATATTCTTCTCTTCCTCTGCCCTTGATGCATTGCCCAAACATTGCTGTCTTTACAGGAGAAATACACCAAGTCTTTGAGCACTTGCTGCCTTCTTGGAAGGTTATGCTATCCATACAAAGTTATTTTTCTCCTCACCATAGCATGGTTTCAAGTGTTTCAGCTTTACCTAATACAGAAAATTATAAGGAAATGGCTAAGTACACCTTAAGTATGAATAAACTTTAGAAATGACAAGGCCTAGTTTGCCATTTCCTTGGACAGGCATTTTGCCCAGTCGCTCTGTTTGGACAGACACAGATGAATGCTGGGATAAAGTCTTTTTCCTCATATTACCACATCGTATTTAATGAGAAAGGTATTTAGTTCTCTTCCTTATGAGCATAGCAGCCGTAAATATTAACATATGGCTCATCCTCATTAAAAAAAGGCTCTCAAATTCATATCTCATTCACAAGATCCATTCCATATCAAATGTTTATCTTCTTTTCCTTAACTCATTCTACAGTCATGTTCAGCACTTTGTACTGCACTGCAGGGCATTAAGTACAGAGACACAACACAATTAGGGTTTCTTTTCTGCCCAAGGAACTCTGTACTGTAATATAGAAAGAACATAATAAAAATATAGTAAATAATAATTTTATAAAATAAAATACATTAAAATATAAATAATAAAATATCAATATTAATAAATAATTAATTAAAAATAACTTCAGAGGACCATCAGTGCTATCAGAATCCATCTAACTTCAGAATGAAAAGAGTTGTACAAACTATAAAAAGGATGCAGCTGGCAAAATTGATCAGTAACTCAGAATTGTGTTGAAATCCAGGCCCTAATTTCATAGTACCAGAAGTTAAGCTAAGCTGTTAATATTTTCTAATAATCACTTTTCATCTGCTGCTGGTTTTTATTTGTACCACTGAAGCACCCTTGGAACCCTGGTGGCAGACCAGTGCCATACTGTTCTGAACACCACATAAACACAGAACAGAGTGAAGATTCTTCCATTTAAGGGTTGTGAATTCTCATTAAATAAGTCTGCTTTGAAAACCATCAGTCATGACACTATCAACTGTTCATCTATTCAGTAAACTGTATGTTGTCTTTTTTCATTTTTTTGTCTATTCATCTATTATTTCATTTTTTTATTCATCTCCAGATCTCATTCAGAAACATTTTTCTCCTGCATATATATATTATTTTTGTTTTGTATTGAATTTAATGCATTGTGTAAATCTATTAAAAGAAGTTATACTTTGAGAGAATGATGTGATTGCTCCATTCAGTAGGTGATCTTTAGTGCATTAGCTTTGCCGTGCAAGAGCAAAGAGATGATTATTGAGGCAGTTAAAAAAGAAATACAAATGTAGATTAGTAGGTTACAGTGTCTTTCATTATTACTGTATTCAAATCCAGTCCTGACTGTATTAAATGCATCATTGTGACACTGCTGGCTGCTTGGTGCCGGGTAAATGAAGTTCATGGGGTAAATCCTGCTCAGGGGAATAGCCAAACTTGGTGCTAATTGCCAACTTTGTCGCCATGGTTTTGCAGAACAAACATGTCCCTAACCCCCTGGGCAGGCATCAGGCACAGCACAAAGGTAGCTAATTTAGTGCTGTCCATAGAAAAGGGCTGCACAGAAAGCTGTGGTCAGCAAGGGTTTCTAATCCAGTTCCAGTCATTAAGCATCCCTGTGCAGAGAAGTGATCTTAGGGCTTACAAGCTGTTAAAGCAGGCACGCAGTTTTGTCTGGATTTTCTCTGTTACAAATATCAAACCCGTTTGCGTTTTCTGTTCTGAAATTTGACAAAGAGACAAAGTTTGGCCGTGGAATCCTTTCTACACATCCATCAGGTGCCCTTGTTAATGTATAGGGGGTGTTGGTTTAGGGAAAACGTGTTGCATTTTTATCCACATGCTCAGCTCTGCAGTTTCTCCCAGTGGTGTTGAACTTCCAGATGAACTTCTGATGAAAACATCAGAGAGTTTTGGTATGTCCTGCTGTCCCCAGCTAACACTCGTGTCTGCTGGGTGCCCCTGTGTTGGTGATAGCAAATGGAACTCCCAATGACAGTGGGTGAGCCACAGAGATAGGAGAGAGCTTGGCTGCTGCTTCTAGAGGACAGAGTGAGAGCAGAATGAAGGTCTGCACTGAGATGATAAAAACCAGGGCACACGTGGAAGGCCAGAGAGCTTGGTCAGGGGCTGGGAAGCTCCTGGTGGGCTGCACAGGGGGCAACTGTCCTTCAGGGAGATTGTCCCCTTCTCCCAGCTATAGCTGCAATCCCTGCTTCTGCAGTTGTGCTGGCTGCAAGAGCAAGTTTGGTAGATGCAAAGGAGATGAAAATGAGGTGGTTTTGATATTTTGCCCCACTTGCTTTGACAGAATCCTTTTTGGCCTGTGCTTGGAGGGAGTGCTGTGCACAGCCATTGGTGCTCACAGAATGAAGGGTGCATAGACCTTGTGCCTCCAGCTGATGGGGGAAAAACTGACTCTATCAACTGGCAGCTGTGCATGTTCTGCCAGCAAACTACACAAAAATATATTTTTAATTAACTTCTTCAGTCATAAAGACCATTTAAATGACATATGACTTTCAAAACAAGATATTCTATGGGGCCCGTATATCTCTCCCCACTCCTGTGTTTGCTTTTCCTGCTTTAGCATTTGACATTAATGTCTCTCATTGAACATCTCAACCCTTGTATCTTTCTCATGGGAGACACAGATCAGAGTGTTCGAGCTTTGTAATTTGGCACTGCTGGCATTTTTGTTCACCACAAATGTTTCTGATGATCCTAATGACATTTCAGCAAGTTTGGGAGGAAAAAAATCATTAAGAGTAGAACAAAAAAAAAATCCCTTGTTGATCTGAAGTGCTCTCTGAATGAGTTGTGGGGAGTTTAAATGCAGGCATGGAATCCAACATTTCCATTTGCACTAGAGGTGAGACTATTTGTAGTTACTGTTTAAGAGAAACCCAGTGTTAAAATCTTTAAACAAAACGTTTTGGGTTTGTTCAGCAGAGGGATGACTATTGATCAAAAATACATTCTATGTGTTTCCAGTTTAGTGAGGCACACTCATTTCCAAGACCAAAACTGCTGTCTTTT